GACATCACAGACTACCCCCACAACACTCCGTATGGGACAAAGCTTTCGTCCTATGAACTACCAATAAATCTTAACCACGCACATAGGCCCTCATCCTCTCAAGTCAAGCTGCTTCCCAGCCTCCAAAACACCTGTTCTCGTCAGGTGTACCTCTTGCAGGAAGGATCTTGGTACCTCCAGGTACAGGGCGTTTTATTGCTGGGCATTTTCGGTCTCTGGTAAGTTACATCCTTTTCTCAGTTTCAAGCTGAGCTCTGCTTTCCAGAAACATCTACCCTCTTACTTTTTTCTCCTTAGGATCCCTCAGAAACAGCCTCCATCCTTCTATATAGGGCAATTACTTGAGCATGCCTCCGTTAACACTTGGGCCTGGGTTACACGCTGCCAACCTGCCTGCCTGCCAATTTGGATGGGCATGATCCTTCACGCACAAGTCACTCACGAAATACGAGGCTGGCGTGCACACTCCCAGGATGCCTCCCACCCTAGTACCCTGGGTAGTGTTTCTCCCAAGCAGGTCCAGATCTGGGCCATCTGAGGTTCAGACACACCGTGCTTTGAGTGACAGCTTTGCTTGTCCTCACCCCGCAATCTTAGAGGGGTTCTTCAGCCTCCTTGGGGCTACGCTTCCCCATCTGTTAAATGGGCTTCAAGATCCCCAGCTTGTGCTTATGCAAATTACACTAGACAACGTAGGTATAGTGACAAGTGGCAGGCGTTCATGTTCACAAGATGCTGTCTTTCTGGAAGGACAGAGGGACAGAGTCTGCAGCCCCTGGAGAACCAGGGAGGGGGCCTAGGTCCTGAGGTAAACTCATCCCAGCCCAGGCAGATGGAAAGACATGCTCCTGGCAAACAGCTGGAGCCCACCACGGCCGGTCTGGAGCCAAGTGCCAGCCCCACCCGTTCCAGCCAAGGGGCCTTGGGGTTCACAGCCGGTGCCAAGCCTGATGAGGCAGCTGCCAACTTTCCAGCTAACACAGATGTCTGTCTTAGATGGAAAACTCAAAAATATGGCCTCAATCAAAGCGGCTCTCGAAAGCGGTGTGTTCCCAGACGCTGGCAGGACACTGAAGAGACTCTGGGCTGGGACTTTTTACTGACTCCCAAGGGGTCAGGGAGGCAGGGATCAGGCTAAATCCCAGAGGTCACTGGGGGACATGCTGTGTCACTCACTCAGAGGGAGGAGAGAGGAGGGGCTGGCAGCCGGTCTAGACAGACTCTGAGAGCCATCTCCTTGAGGAATGGGGCTCTGAAGCTCCCCCAGAAAAAAAGGGAATCAATCGTCTGTGTTGTTGGAACTGAGAATTCAAGGCGGTCCTTTGGTATATTAGAAAGATTAACAGTCTACAGTGACTATCTCCAACAGTCAGGCACGGAGCCTCCAAAGACCAGTGTGACCTGGGGGAAGCCATGGAGTCACGTGGGTCCCCGGCTGGCCATTCTCTCGCTGACATCGTGACTTGATGCTGCCCGGGAAGACAAAGCTTTCCCTCGGGGACACAGTCCCACTTTATCAGAGGAGAAAGAAAAGGAAAGCCACCAAGGATGAGAATGCTCTAGAATCCAGAAGTTCTGCTTTTCTTGCCAAGCATCCCCCCAAACTCCTTCAGCAGCGTCTTTTGTCCTCCGATGCTTGCACAGTAGCTTGTTTGTCAAGCCACTTAAAGAAACACCCCTGCGAGCCCTGGGGTAAGGTGTGGCGCTGGATGTCTTGGCCAACGGTCAACACAAACAAGGTTCCTGAACGCCTTGCCCCTTCCCCATACGGCCGCTCTGCTGCACCGTCGTGTGTTTGAAATGTTTACGTTGCCCTGGCCTTTGTTATTTCTTGCTCAGGATGCCGGGATGCTTGCCATTCCAGGGTCTGTACCCTGCTGCCCAGCTCGCTGAGCTGTGCCAAGCACTTGGTGGGGGGAGGGAGAAGGTTGGGGCACCACCTGAGAGATGCAGAGAAAGAGCTGAGTTTTGAGTGGGCCTACGGAGGTTCAGTCTGTGCTTTGCACTGTCACATACATGTAGTACAACTGACCCAAAGATCTTCTCCCACGCCCACGGTGGCTGAGGTCCAGGCCCCGAGTGGTCAAAGATGGCCAGCTCTACTAGGATCCAGGTCCTTGGTCAGCCATTGAATTAATCTTACAAGACTGGCGCACAGCCCAGACCCTGAGTGGGGTCGGTAGGCAGGCAAACAGTCCCCAAAGTGCAAATGTCGGTCTTCTCACTCATTCCCACCTTCCAAGTGAGGATGTCCTTTAGAACCGGTGTTATGGTCACTGTGCACACCATCCCCTGCTAAGAGGAGCAAGCCAGGGATCTCTCACTGACCACAGCAATCCCTACAGCCTGCACCTCTGCATCCTGAACAAGCAGGGTCCTATGCGCCTGCTTAAAGCCCATAACCAGTAGATGTCTGGGGCCCAGAGAGATGGCTCAACAGTAGACACTTGCCGCCAAGCCCAATGACCTGTGTGCAGGAACCAGCCTATACAATGCACTTAGAATCCCTACATGCCTCGCTCCGGGAACCGCTGCTCCCTCCTGGGCCTCACCTACAAATACAATTCCCTAGGACTTCTAAATTCTTCCCCACCTCTTTGACTGCCCCCCGGGCCCCCCTCCCCCATCATCATCCTGTGTGTCACCTTCTCTAAGAAGCTGTCCCTGATTCACAGCTTCAGCCAGTGCTCCTGACCCCTCAGTGCAGAGACAGGCAAGTGGTATACAGGAGAAAAGCACCACATCTAATGGTGTCACCCATGCTGTAGATCTGCATAATTATGAAGATGGCTCTGGTCATATGGAAGGATCCCCTTTCCCAATTTGTACAAAAGTGCCCCAGGACTCACCAGTAGCCTGGTGTCACTGTCTGTCCCCACAGCACACAGTACTGGTCCAGATGCTACACTAGGCTATTTCTAAAGCCAACCGACAGCCCATGAGGCTGCAAGCTTGGGGAGGGGAGGCATTGCTTCTACCCTGTTCGCCATGGTCCACTCAGAGCCTTCACACCAAATGTGTCTTCATTAGTGATAATACTCGTGGACTACACCAAAGAAGTCCCAAGAACTGGCTTGAGGAGGGAACACAAGAAAAGTGGCATATGCACACAAAATGTCCCTAGCTTTTTGCAAAGTCCCCGAGTAGACTGATATGTTTCTCCCAAGGTCAGTGTGTCCCTTCTCCCTTTCCTGAGAAGACATCATCATCATCATCATCATCATCATCATCATCATCATCACCATCATCATCTTCAATACACAGCCTCCCCTCAGTATCCATGAGAGATTGGTTCCAGAACCACCACAGCTAACAAAACCTGTGGCTACTCAAGTTTCTTGCACAAAATGGCATAATATATAACCTATGTAAATCCTCTCATACAACTTTGAGTCACTTCTAAATTGATTATCATATTTTAAGCATATGTAAATTATGTGCAAATTAGCACTATATAGTTTTTAGGGACTATGACAAGAAAAAAGTCTTGTGGGTAGAGACCCAACTATACAGTAAACAAGGTGTTAGGTGAACAAGGCTCATGTGACTGCTGTAGACACAGGATCCCAGACCAGGGACGGAAGGAGCTATAAAAGCACACGATCACCTAGCAACTACTTCATTTTGTGGGGGTTCAGCATCAGGTTCTGTGAAAAGCAAATTCAAGTTTTACTTTTTGGAACTTGAATTGTCCTTCAAATTTTTTTTTTTAATTAACTACATTTTTATTTATTTTTGTGTGTGGGCACATGTATGTGTGTGAGTGTGCAAGTATCACACAGGGGATGTGGAGGTCACGGGACAATGCGTGAAGTCAGCTCTTCCACCATGTGGGTCCCACATGAACTCAGGTTGTCAGGCTTCGTGGCAGGTGCTAGGCCATCTCAAGAAAGGCCCTGTCTTGCAAATATTTCTGACCTGAGATTGGTTGACTCTGCAGTTACAGAATTGGAGATCCGGAGGGTCATCTATAACATGTACCATGTGGTCCTGCTCATGTACTAACCATCGCAACCCTCTCAGGCGGACACTATCACCCTTCAGTGCCAGGCTTCACAAGAGAGGGGGCCAAGGTAGAGAATGGTAAGGAAGCAGAGCGGAGGCTGGCTCCTGACACGTGTCGGATGGGAAAGCCTCTGAGCTGAATACAACCTTTTGCTGTTTCACAGAAACACACCGTGCTGAGGAACCATCTGCACTCACTTTTAGTGTGGAAAATGCAGTCACGGCTTGTACTGTGGAGTCTGATGCTGGGAACAGCCCTGCTCCTCCCACCTTTGGGCTGTGCTCCAGGCCCCCCACAGAACCAGCTCACAGAGCTGACTGCTGACAGGCAAGAAGAATACATGCCAGGTCCAGGCCCAGGAATGAGGCCTGGGGGCGGGGTGGGGGGTTGGGGGGGTGGGGTGAGGACAGGGAGACAGACTGAGTGGGCAGAAGCCATACTCAGGCACAGGCACCTGGTCACCCCTCCCAGACATCAGAATAAGACCTCTGCGAGCGGTGTAAATGGGTTTTTGCTCACTGAATCCTCAGTGCCTGGCACATAAGAGGCATCCAGCCAATATCTGCTGAGTGAACAAAGGAATGAACGAATGTGTGTTGAGATTTACCCAGTCATCCAAAAGGGGGCAAGGAACTGGGGCTCTCACACCCCGAGGTTGAGGGCATTTTCAGACAGGCACTCACCTTTGGTCCAGGAGGGAAGAAGGAGGCCCAAGACTCTCAGAGAAAGGAGGGAGACATTCTAGGGTCCTGGGGCCGAGGTGCAGGTATATGTAAGAAGATGGAAGGGGTCCATCACTGGCTGGCACCCCTATAATCTACTGCAAAAGTGAGATCCCCACACAGACTATCAGGTTGAGCGGAGACCTAGGTGCTGGGCAGAGGGGCTGAGCTGGCTCCTTGAGACACATCTGGAAATATTGCCGGGCCTTGGTGGTGAGGGATGGGGATGGAGCGCTTCCCCCGGAGCCCTCCATCTTGACACTGATACTCACCTGGTCTGGGTGGGCATGGAGCACATGAGGCCACCCCCCAGAAGGTCCCCACACTGCCACAGCAGTCCTCCTGAGACGTCAGATCCACCAGGGGGTTAGCACACTGGGGAAAAAAAAAAAAAAGAAAGACCATAGACACCTGTGACACCCGCTGTCCATCACCAAGGGTCCTAGGCTCAACTCCCAGAAAGCCAGTGTTTTTTTGAGTCCAAACTCTAGGTTGTCTTAGACTGCAGGTACTAGTGAGGGCTCTTCTACATGGGGACTTCCGTGGTCCCCTTCTGTGTGCCTGGCACTGACAGGCACTATACGAAGCTCAGGGAGAAGATGCGGCCTCTCCACATTCAGCATCGCTCCCCTTTTTAGACAGAGTCTCTGTAGCTCAGGTTGACCTTGAATTCACTATGTAGCCAAGGATTACCTTAAGTTTTTGATCCTTCTGCCTCAAACTCCTAAGTGCTGGGATTACAGGAGTGTACCACGATGCTTGGTTTGATGTGGTGCTAGGGATCAACCCAGGGGCCTTGTGCATATGAAGCAAGCATCCTACCAACTGAACTGCATCTCCAACCCACTCAGGGACCTTTGTGCTGTGGATTTGCCCGTATGGGAAATGGACCAAGGAAGAGAGAGAGAGAGAACTATAGACCGGGGAAGCCTTAGCTGTCCTAGACACCTGAAGAGCTGAGGCGGGAGCTTTGTTCTCTCACCTGTCCATTCACTGTGCTCAGGTAACACCGGCCCAGAAGTCCCTGATGCCTGGACAGCACTGGGGGTGGTGGCCGAGGGGCCTCTCCAGCCTGAGCAGGTATGCTGTTACTGGCCCAGTGGCTGTGGCTTGGGCTGCCAGGGGGCCGATGGGAAGAAGCTCTGGTCTCCACACTGTTCTCATCCAGCACGGGATCCACCTCACCCCGGACCCGTGCCACCTGGTGGATCTGCACTGAGGCCTCGGGCGGGTGGTGAATGTGCACCTTCACCAACGAGGGGTTCACAGAGGCTAGGCGGAAGGGCTGGGGTCAGAGCCAAGAAGGGCTTCTACCTCATTTTTCTGCCCTATGAAGAGTGCCCACCACCCTAGTTCAGTTGGGCTCCAGACTGTGTGTCTCTCCAAATGCCTCCTTCCATTTCTTTGCCTGTTATGTGGGACCAGAACAATGCCCCCCAACCCCCACTCCCAGACAGGAAGAAGTGGTAACTCCATGCAAGGCTCTGCATTGAAAGCCGCAAAGTTCTTTCTGATTCTTCCTCCTCTGTGACGGTGTGAAACCCTGAGTACCATCAAACCACATGCAAGTCATAGTCAAGGGATGGATACCTGAGGGTCATCCCACCACCCATCCATCCCAACTCCTATAGAACCCTGTATATTTGTACCTTTAATTTGTCACCAATTAACAGAAGGTGGGGAAATGAAATGCATGCTGAATTCTGCCCCCATTCCCTCCCTATTGCCCGGGCTGGGGGGAGGGGTGCTGGGGGCCCCATAAGCTGCATTGTCTTCCCCAGCACAGGTAAAGGGCTGCGCGCGCGCGTGCGCGCGCGCGCGCGCGCGCACACACACACACACACACACACACACACACACACACACACACACGGAGGAACTCCGATGGGAGGCAGAAGTATAGGGGATGGCATGGAGACCTGTCCCCGACCTGGCACAGCCACGGCACACCCTACCCGGTGAACCTCGCAGGCTGGCTGCCCCGAATCGCTGGCACTCACCGAGCTGGTTGGAGAGAGGCAGCATGAAGGTGGATTGCTTCAGGGGCCCTTCCAGCAGGGCTCTGTGGTGGGAACCTCTCCCCGGAGGCTCCCTGTCTGGCTGTGGGACAGGCAGATGGCAGAACTTCCCTGTGGAGTTAGCTGGACACCAGCACTCATCCCGGCCAATGCAGCGCCCTCCATTCAGGCAGGGGATCTGGCAGAAATCTACAACAACACTCAGGGTGATTGGCAGCGGACCTCCAGTTGGTGACAAGCAAGCAGGGAGGTGGGGCACTAAATCTGGGGGTGGGGGGGGGCTTGGAGGATGTGGAGCCCCTTGAAATGCAGGGCCTTCCCTTGAAGCCCTTGGAGTGAAGACAAGCACATAACTTGCTTTTCAGAGAAGCCTCCTCATGTCTCTCCTGCCCACCACAATAACCTAGAGCACAGGCAGGGGCATGCTTCTTCTCTATCAAGGACTCAGAGAGGTTGTGTGACTTGCCTGGAGTCACACAGCCTGGCTGGGACAGCGCCGGGATAAGATTCACTCCCGACTGTGATTTATAACCACTGACAGAACTAGAGGACAGGAAGCTCCACGCCAAGGCGTCCCTGAGAGGCAGCCCCCACCACCACCACCACCACCACCACCACCACCACGCCAAGACCGTGTGTGGGAAGGGGACTCACAGATACGGAAGCCAGACTTGGGGTCGTGCCCATGGCCACCCTGGCTGTACAGGGTGGTGGTGTCGCCCTTCTCACAGCTGTTGGCACAGCGCCCACGGGCACAGGTCTGCTTGCAGATGGTGGGGGTGAAGACGACCTTGATCTTCTTGATTTTCTCGGTGAGGTTCAGCCCTGCAGAGAGAGGGCTTGGGTCCTGGACAGAGCCAAAGCATAACCTTGATCTCCAGAGCCTGGTGCACCAGGCCCTTAGGACCAGAGGTACGTCTCACAGCACGTGCTAAGACCCGGACACCGGGTCTGTCTGTGGTCCAGGTAGGGCAATGTTTTCAAGAAGTGCCCAGACAGGCCCCCCTTAGGCTCACGCTTCATGCACACTGATATGTACCGCTGCGAGAGGAGCCATTCAAAACCGCACTGGTGAGTCTCAACTCTCTAGCAGAATATTTCATTTTACAGTTGGACTGAGGCAGAGCGGTGTCCAGGGCGCCTTCATTACACAGCCAACGAGTACAGACTTAGGCTTTGAGTACAAGGGCAGGGAGTGGAACATAGCTCCGGCTGGCAGAGTAGGGGGGGGGGGTTCCCAGGGGAAACAGAGGAAGACAAGGCCTGAGGAATGGCGAGAATCAGGTTTGGGCAGGGGGAGGGATCTGGTTACCAGCTTCATTTAGCAGGGTGTGGCGAAGCCAGGAAAACACCAAGGAGGAAGCGAGGGCGGCAGGCAATGGCGGTATGTATGGTGACAGGTGTCCGGAAACGCTGGGGGTTTCCTAGAAGCAGCAGCTGGCTGCACTGGTCCAGGGTTGGAGTTTGCAGAAAGGGTAATGTGGAAGTGCATGAGTCAGGGGATTGAGGCCCCAGCTGGACATGGAGGAAGCAAAGGCAGACCAGAGATGACAGAGCAGGAGACCGCAGACTGCCGTCAAAGTCCCAGGGTCCAGATGGATTAGTCTGACACTCTGGAACTTGCACAAAGCGAGTGCACCAATACTGTTTGTTGGCTGGCTGAAACAGTGAAGGACAAGGTGACAGCTCTGTCCCTTGAGGGGGTGGAGGGGGAAGCAGAGGCAGGGCAAGGATGGGTCGGATGCCTCTCTGCTCTCCTCAGTCCAGATGCAACCTTACCCCAAGGGGGTGAGAGGTGGTTCACATGTGATGCTGGCTGGGTGCCATCTCTCAGCTCAAGTCCTGGTCCCGAAGGCAAGGCGTTGGAAGTCAGCTGGCCATTGGCACCAGCGGCCGGGTAACGATGAACAGTCCTGGACAGCCCTGTGTGCTGCTGCAAGGGGCGGGTCTGGCTGAGGCCATTCAGGGTCCTGTGGAGATGACCATAGCCTGGGGGTTTGCATCCCAGGAACGGCATCTCTCGGCCCTCCATCAGCTGGCTGCCCTCAACCCAGCACTTGCCCTAGAAGAATGCACTCCATTAAGATGCCTTCTCCCCACCCATACATGGCTGACTCTCGATGGATAAGTGCCCAGATAAAAGGACCAAGGGTGGCCAGTCTTCTAAGGGGGAGCACCTACCCCTATTGGAATATTTAGGAAACCCAGCCTCTCTGGGCCTCAGGACCTCTGACTACAACATGAAGCATCAGTCTTTCCTGTGTAGTTCTGGCATTCTGGGAGTCTTGGAGAGCCCACTCATGGGCCAACCCAGCACTGAAACCATGGTCTGTGCCCAAACCCTGCTATTTTTATCCCCAGTGCTGGGGATAAATCCCAGGAATGTGCACATGCTAGGCAAGCACTCTATCACCACTACACCCCCAACTCCATTTAAAATTTTTTTTATTTTGAAGCCTGGTCCAGGCTGGCCTCAAATTCACTGTCCTCCTGCCTCAGCCTTCCCAGTGCTGGGATTACAGGTTTGCCTCACCACACCTGGCCCTGCCCCATATAAGCCTCTATGTAAATCGTGTGGAATAGGTGAACAACAAATATATATATGCATAGATCTTTCAGGGGCAGAGTCTGGGATCTATCTCCCAGTTAATTAATATGAAAATAATGCAGCAACCATATTCAAAGAGAAAAAGAGTCCATCATCTCCCATCCCAACACAGCAGATACTTTTGCCTATTTTTCAACCTTTGCTCACATATATGATTTTATAAGAGTATCATCAGCTGTAGATATAATTTAAAATTTTTTTTTACTTAACATTATGCTCTACTCCATACAATTACACCTTTTCCCCCAGATTTATCATTTCCCATGCCCTATGGCTGTTGATCTGGATCACAACTCAGAGACATACTCCTGTTGCATTTTTTAGATTGTTGTTTTTCACTGTGGAAAGTCCCACACGTGTGATGTTTTTTCTCCTGTTAAAATATTCCTTTAGGGTTGACGAGATGGCTCAGTGGGCAAAGGCACTTGCCACCAAGCCTGACCACCTAAGTTCGATCCCTGGACCACACGCGGTGGGGGAACAGACTGCTGCAAGTTCTCCTCTGATCTGCACATGCACACCATGCCCCCACACACACAAACAAACAAAGAAATGTAAATTTTACAAAAATATTCCTTTAGGGGGCTTAATTGTTCCATTTAATTGTTTCATTCTGTATGCTTGATTTGTGTGTGTGTGTGTGTGTGTGTGTGTGTGTGTGTGTGTGTGTGTGTGTGTGTGTTTATGTGTGTGCACAGTTGTGTGAAGGTGCATATGCACATGTGTGCAAATGTGTGTGGAGGTCAGAGTTTGACACTGGGCGTCATCTTCCTCGATCACTTTCCAACTTACTTTTGGAGATAAGTTCTCTCACTGAACCTAGAGCTCGCCAGTTGGGCTAGCATGGGTGGTCAGGAAGCCGATGGACCATGCAGAGCAAACTCAATTGTGCAGATGGTGATGATGATGGTGGTGGTGGTGGTGGTGGTGGTGGTGGTGGTGGTGGTGGTGGTGATTGAGACAGGGATCTCCTGTCTCCACTTCCCTAGGGCTGGAACTACAGGTGTGTGAGCCCATACCTGGCTTTCTCCCAGCACTCAGTTTTTAATCACTCCTTTTATTTAGCCATTGTACTTTATGTGTTTGGAAAGCTTTTAATAATAAACATTTTGAAGACAGTTATGACATTAGGATGAACTCAATTCCTCAGGCTACCAAGGCGGTATCCAAGACTGCAAACATCTTCAGCTTTAATATATTTTGGTGTATTGTTTTCTGAAGGGGTCACATCAAAACATGTAAGTGTCACAGTACATACATGTATCAAACATTACATGGAACCCCATTCATATATATACTTTTTATAGGTTTTTTTTGTATCAGTTAAAATTTAAAAGTGGGTTTAAAACTTAATAAAGTACATAAATGTACCACACAGAGCACACACTCACTAGCGTAGCCTAGAATAGTAATTATTGTTGTCGTCATCATCATTATTAAGAGTCTGCTATGTAGCTCAGGATAGCCTCATAATTGTATTTTTTCCCTTTAAAAACCGGGAATAAAAGCAAGCAAAAATCGCCAACTCCCAACCTAATTTTAAGTATTGTAATACATTAATTGAATAAGCATAATAATGACATATTGATGTTGCTTTTCTCTCCTTTTTAAATTTTAATTTAAGAAATTATTTTTGTGTAGGCACTGGTGGCACATGCATTTAATCCCAGCACTTGGGAGGCAGAAGCAGGATCTCTGTGAGTTCAAGGCTAGCCTGGTCTACAAAACTATTTCTAGGACAGCCAGGGCTACACAGAGAAACCCTGTCTCAAAAAACAAAAGACAAAAAACAATCAGAGCAAAAAATATATATTTGTGTATGTATATGTGTGGGTATATCCATGTGAGTATAGGTGCCTGCTGAGGCCAGAGACATCATATCCCCTGGAGCTGAAGTTCTAGGTGATTGTGAGCTGCCTGTGGGTGCTGGGAACTGATCTTGGGTTCTCTGTAAGAACAGCATGTGCTCTTAACAGCTGAGACATTTCTCCAACCCCCCCTTCATAGATACTTCTGAGGTTGAAATTTTGTTTGTGAATATATTTATTGCTTGTTCTTTGACAACCCTTTGAATTGTTTATCTCATAAACTTGAACAGATCTTCCACATGTTTGTTATTGGACGGCCTCTACTGTAAATACTCTAGCATTCTGACAGCGGTATGAGAACCACTGTATACAGAACAACATCTGGACCATGGTGGGTGTGAGGACATGTGAACATGGAAGCTGAGAGGGGCCAAAGACTCACCCAACATTATAAACCAGCTAAACCAACACACTGGGATTCCAGATAGACCACCCTGACTCCAGAGCCCATGTTCTGGGTCAGCCCAGACCCCAGCGGAAGTCAGCCTGGGCTGAGGGGTGGTCTGCACTTGTTAGGTCCTACCCCATTTCTCCCCATTAGATCACGTGCCCTAATAGGATATGGTCTGGGACTCTTGCTCCCTCCTGCTCCTGAGCAGTTGGCTCCATGTGTTCAAGCCATGAGCACTCTACTGAGAGACGCTAGACGTGGACACTATCAGAGCCTGGTTACCTCATCTGTCCCAGGCCCTGCCCCAGGCCCTGTGGCACAGACCTTGGCTCCTGGGAACCTCAATGCTGCTATTTCTAGAACCTTCAGCAGCAAATTCTCTTCCTGCTTCCAGAGTTTGGGGGTTGGAGTAGGAGAGGTCCTGTTAGCCATGTGGAAGTTCTAAGAGTGATAATGGTCTGGAATTGAGACCCAGACCTCAGGCTCACCCCTCTCAGGGGAAGGTCAGCACAATCTGATACATCAAAAGCAAAATCCTTCCAGTGCTTCCGAGAGACTGCCCAAGAGAGCTGTGTGCAAGCTGGTGCATCATCAGACGCTTCAAAGATCTTCAGGGCCAATTGAATTTCTTCTCAGAGCAGAACACTGGGCAAGCAAGCCAGACACCCCTAGTCATAGAGAGGACCTGGATGCTTAGAGGAGAAAGGAAGGGTTTGGGACAGAAGGGCCAATATGGCCTCTTCCAGCAGTGTAACCTTGGGCACATTGCTTAGCTCCTCTGAACCCATCATCATCATCATCATCATCATCATCATCATCATCAGCGTTAGGAACACCTACTTCACGGGGCTGTGGAGAGGACCGAGAGAATAGGGAGGCCGTGCAATCACCTTACGAATACAAGCGAGTGTTCATAAGAGGAAAAGCATGCCAGGGTTTTCAAAGGGACGGAAGAGTTAGCTGCCGTTTGGACTGAATAGCACCCCACCCTCAGTCCCACCCCAGGGAGGAAATGTGACCCAGTCACATTCAGAATTCTTCTCCACTTAAAAGGAAGAAGAAGAAGAAAAGTCCAAGCATCCTTATACATAAAGGGCCAAGTGTCTAATCTCTTCTCACACATTTTTTTTTTTTTTTTTTTAACCATCAGGAACCTCTTCTGAACCCAATCCATGGTCATCCACTGATGTGACAGGGAGAGTTAAGTGACAAAAATCCAAAAGGCCGGCTGACTGGGGCTTACAGCAGAGTAAACAACGAAGCCCCAGTTCAGCGGGGAGAGCATAGGTATAAGCCGCTCCGCTCCACATCCACCCCGTCCACGTCCGCTCTCCTCTGGAAGCGCTGCTCTGTCTAGTTTACACACAAAGCAGTACTTAGGGCTCCTGTCTTGTGTGAAAAGAGTCTTTGATGCTAAAAGACGAACATTTAAGCATCAACACACGGTACACAGAATAGCTCTGGGTGCTGTTGCTAAGTACCCAGCACCGAGCCAGGTGCTTTAAGTACCACACCCTATCCTTGCCACTTTAGAATGAGGACAGCAAGTTGAAGAATAACATGGGTACTAGACTTCCAGTGAGAATAAGCTCTCGTTGGGCATGATAGTGTACACCTTGAATCCCAGAATTTGGGGGGCAGAGGCAGTGGATCTCTGTGAGTTTTAAGCTAGCCAAGGCTATACAGTAAGCCTTAAAAAAAATTCTCAAAAAAAATTATCCTTCCTGCTAGTCTGGAAGGAACTGTAAACAGTGGGCATGAGAGTTCTGTGTATGTGTAACTGTGCTTTTAAACGTTTTTATGTATATATATATAATTTAATAACATATATAGATACATATATATATTGAATTCTTAGAAAATGCATTATGCATCAGGCAGTTTATTTATTTATTTATTTGTTTGTTTGTTTATTTATTTATTTTGTTTGTTTGTTTTTCAAGAAGGGTTTCTCTGTGTAGCTTTGCGCCTTCCCTGGAACTCACTCGGTAGCCCAGGCTGGCCTCGAACTCACAGAGATCCACCTGCCTCTACCTCCTGAGTGCTGGGATTAAAGACATGCGCCACCACCACCCGGCAGTATATTTATTTTTAATGAAACTA